CAGATGTGGTTGAAATTGGCCCAAAGGTTCAAAAATAATTAGAAGGATGAATTGGTAGATGAATGGACAGAACTAAAAGACAGTGTGACTGCTGCTGTCCATCACCAGACATTGTCAACTGGTTGAGACTGAGCTGGATATATGGGTTTTAGAAGCTTTTTGCACTTCAGTACACTTGCCTGTGTTCTATGAGTTAAAAATATACCACTGATATTAGAATGCTGAGACTCAGACCAAATTAAATTTAAAATAATTTTGCTTAACATATGAATATTGCATTTCCAGTTAGCTAAAATAGATTGTATATTTTAAACTTAGCTGTAATTAAAATAGAAAAGAGAATGTTACACCTCTTGGAATCATACTCCACACTGGCTGTTTTGGCTAGCATGTCAGCTTCCTTTGCCGAGCAGATGTTACCTCCTTTAACCTGTGTCCCATGGCTGGCCAGTTCATTTTAGAATCACTTTTAATACATTTCAGTAATTTTTCTTGTTATCTACATGTACAATAGGGCTTGGGGCATACTTTCTCTAAACAATGGTTATAAAAGTAAGAAGAGTTTTGATTAATAGCTATCCATCAAAGCATTGACAAACCAATCTTATACCTTCTTTCGTAGACTCGTCCATGTCTCTGTTGTCCAGGCAGTTATTTTAATCCGCATTTCAACATGGCAAATTTCCATTTTCCTTAATTCTTTTCTCTCATTCAGTTTCCCTTGTTATTAATTAGGGAAAGAGGTCCAGACCATCTATCATATTTCTGATTGTCTGAGTTTGTTGAAGCAGATAATTATCAGTCACAAGAGGAAATTGCATACATCCTAGGAACTACTTGAAATCTAGGGGATTTGTGCCAATGTGGTTTGCTACAAACCTCAAAACATACCTTGAAAAACAGCCCTATTTACTTTGATCTTTTATTTCTTCTCATAGTGCTATAAGATATATGGATAGTGAGAGAAGTGTTTACTGATTATTTTTTTTTAATATTGTTTTGAATCTGTCAGTTATTGCAGTTGTTAGCCTGCTTGTAATTACCCAGATTACTTTCATCCCCTCTTTTTTAAGCAGAAACTGTTTCATATTTTCTAGTCATATGGCACCATACCCAGCTTTGTAGCTCTATTAAGAAGCAGTTTTACATAACAGCTTTTTTGTAATTCAGTCACAGAAATTATCTGATCCCCATCCAAATGTAGTGCATTGTTCCTTAATTTTATTTCTGCCTCCCTTTCTCTACCTTATTCTCATTAGTCAGAAGTCTCAAACTTATTGTTCTCAATCAAAGGACAGACTTTGGACCCTACTTAGATTGGTTTTAATCTGTTTAAATCTGTTTGTAGTTTAGATAAATCCCTTATTCTACGTCTCCTTCTATAGTTCATCAGAAAAAAACTGCTGTTATTTTAATTTTCTCTGCAAACACTGACTTAGTCTTTTGGTAGTTCATATTTTATCCCTGTATCTCCTGACTGGGAAGATGCAGGTAAGTTTGGTTAACAGTCTTTTCTGCCAACTCCATGATTTTTTCTAATACCTCATTTCTTGATTTGTATTTGAAACTTTTTGCTTACGAGTCCTACTTCCTTGTTAGGTTCAGCCATTGGCTGTCTTTAAGCAGTGGTGAGGCAGCAAATCTTTGAGTTCTCAGTGTTAGATCTTTGTCCTAACCACTCCATAGTCACCAAAAGGATGTGGCAAATAGTGTCTTCTGGACACCACAGATAATTGTTCTGCAACTAAACAAAGCCCTAAGCATCAGGTAAACAGATCAGTTCAACAGCAATAAACAAGGGCTTTCTCCTTCTGAAGTGGGGACAAGATCTGCATTACTTCTGCCTAATCATATCTTCTCAGAGCAACCAATTGCCATGTAAAGCATCTGGGGGGGGGGGGGGGGG